GAGACTTGTAGGTCCTGGGTTCGAATCTCGCGAGTGCGGGATCGTGGATACGCACTGCTGAGGAGTCCCATAACAGGACGGAACGGCTGTTCAGTGCTTCCAGGTTTTCCATGGTGGTCTAGCTTCAATCGATTCATGATTTCAACTTTAAAAATATTGAATATGTTTCACAACAATTTTATTCGAACAAACATAGATTAACAGACTAGAAAGGGAACCTTTATTTAGCAATCATCTTAGTTTGTCCTAACAAACTGTTGAGTATCGACAGATCAACATTATAATACTTGTTTCACACAAGTCACATTAACTAATTAAGTATCAAGTAAACGCATTATCATATATAGTGATAATTAAAAATTAACAATAAAAATCATGCGAATCACAACCAGGTAGTTTGCATGTTCAAACTAATGTTCAGACTAACAATCAATGTCTTCATGAATTGATGCTGCGTATTGTTTCGGCCACTCATTGCTGGCTACACGAGAGAACATTATACGTCAAGGTTAACAGTTTCTTGGGCATATATGACATATACCTCAGTCGATGAAGATTTAGTCTTATCACCCGAATCACTTGCATCCTATCTTCATTATTGCTCTGTCGTTGTACGATGTGAGAAATGATTCGAAAACATCTATGATGTAGATCCTGCAGTCCGTCAAACCTTGATTTCACAGCCGATATTTTGTATCCATACAGAGTAGATTCCTGCGAAGTTAACTAGTCCCTTTGTTGGTAAACGAACAGATATCTCGCCTACACTACAGACTGAACAAATCCTAGGACTTTCTGAATCTGTTCTGATGTTTCGTAAAATAGTAAACATAGCTGCCAAACAACGAATGAAATGCCTAATCAATTTATAATCAAGGTCTGAAATATAGGCGACGATTATATCTATGTCAGTATAACTTTTGTGAGATATATTGTTTAAATTCCCCAACAATAGAGTACAACTAGTGACTGGATCCAAAACTGTCAGGATGGCTCAAACCAACAGTTATGGTGAATAATAGATGCATATCATTGTTTTATCACCGTATGCGTTCCTTAACCTACTCTTATCCTAACTACAATTATACGTAGAGGTAGGAGCTCCAAAGGCATAATTGACACATGATGCACATCACCTTGATGCCTAGATTTTAATAAAAACTTCGTGTTTCGCAATCTAGATTGCTTCAGAAATTCTTAGAACCAAAGAAATTTATCATCGATGAAAAAATCACTTCTCGGCAAGGAGAGCTTTTTCTCCAGCGACAGCATTTTTTGACGGTACATAATTGTGTTCAATTTTTCTCAATATACGTAGAACATTATTGGTGAACAAAAAGTTGTTGTTTTAATATGCTAGGAAATTTCAAGCATCCGGAGAAATTTACATGATGCGTAATAAATGTTTTTGTTAAATGAATTGTAAGAATCATAGATGAAACGTATGCAAGATAAGTGTCAACTTGACGAACATAAAAATAATGAAGTAATCATGAAACTGATAAAAAATTCGGAGGTGCTAATAACAATTGCTCAACAGATGGGAAACATCACCGGAGGGTAGTAAAATGAAATTTCTAGATATCGAAAATTAGGAGGATTAAATGAGAGATTAAGCATCCTGTGATTGTACATAGTTCGGGCTTAAATAGGTGGATTGATAGTTTCTGAGGTGCATAAGTTTTCTTTTCCTACTTCATAGTAGTTTATCTATTTTATCATGATTGGTTTTGAAGAGAAATTATAGTAAGGCAAAGTGAGTATTAACAATGAGGTGCGCTCGAAATTGAGCTTTGGATTGATATGTATTTTGACAACTGAGCAAAGTAGTGCTTGAATAAGAGGTTAGAGGATTTCAGTCCAAAAGTTAGTACGTTGATGTAACGCAAAGAAGAGTTTCTTCCTAACATAACCTCATGTTTTTTTCAGTCAGCCTATGGTTAAAGGATAGAACGTTTCTTTCTAATATTTATGTTTTGGATGCTATCTATGGTATCCCCTCTAAATCCAATGTTTACGAAAAGGGTATTCTTTAATCAATCGTATAGACGCGTAAATCAATTTGCTAACAGAATTCATATTGTTCAAACAATCATATAATAATATTAACAAGTCAGTTGTACATGATAGTTATCTAACATTCTAATTCATTAATTATGAAGATGAAAATTACACAGTCTATAATCAAATAGGCATTATTCACTTATCACTGTAATCAAGTATTAAATATCCTTTCTTTTTTTCTCTCTTCTTTTCTAAATAAATAAATATATATATGTAATATTGCACAAGCAAGTGCTTATCAGCACTCAGTGGCCGAGCAGATAACATGATGGCGTTTGGAGCGAAAGGTACTGGGTTCAAGTCCCAGATGCCCTGGTACGGACGAGAGTGGGGAGAGTCACCTCTCCCTCTCGAAATGCTCTCATATGGCCAGTGAATATATAGCCTCTGCCAGGGAAGTCCTACCCACTGCCTTCTCGTGGCGGGGGTGTTGTTTACGAAAGTGAGAGGACGAAAAGCGAATGTCCAGCGCTTTAACCGGGTTGGTGGACATGGAAAGTTCACCTAGGGGAGTTGGAAAACCCTGATTCCAAACCAATGGTGCACATGGGATCCAGTATCCTGAGGGAACAAATGGCGTACGAATCAACCGTTGATCACCGGCTACCATGGGACTGCATCTCCTTACGATGCTCCACTGCCTTGTGGATTAGACCTTCAGGTCAAAGGCTCGGGGTGTGGTCCCCTAAGAAAACCACCTGCCTCAGTCTGGGCACCTGAGCAGTATCACAGCCCTCACACAAATCGAATGAGATTTGTGAGGCGCAAATTTATCTGGTGCTTCATTGTACCAATATTTATGTGTTTAAATAAATAAAAAATCAAGTCCCATAGTGAACAACTCTGAGATGCAAGTACATCCGGCTGACGAGTCTCAAATAGGACGAAACACACGTCCTGAATTTCACTGCTAGACACTATCCATCTTTGCTTACAATGCTTGTGAAATAAGGTTATATCGAGGTAATACGCACAGTATGCACATATGCCAATTAGAGACTGACCAGTTGCAGTCCTAAAAACATCAATGGGAAGATTCAAACAAACAATACTAAATGAATAAGAATAAATATATATATATTACTTTTAATTTGCAAAAAATAAATTACACTTATCTAATTTTCAATGTTGTGATCATTCATTCATAATTAAAGGGTTAATTATTTGAATCAATCATCTATCTAACTATTAAGGTTTAATAGAAATAGCATAAATGATAAATTATTCAATGAATGTATTTTTGAAAAAGAACATCATTTAAGAAAATAAAACTAGTGATACCTTTTTTTCTTCAGTTATCAATAAATCAATCAATAAATATTCCTCAATAGTCTTATTTATATTAATAAATGATTATAGTTTATGATTTTGTAAATATTAGTCAGTTTATTATGATTGTAATTGTCAAGGTTACAATAGAAGTGAAATTCTATAAACAAACAAACAAAAAAAGAATAATTTAACATGTATGTGTGTGTGTGTATGTGTTCATTATTTGAATGCATCTACTTAGTTATAGGTAGTATTGTAACACACTATAAACAAATAAATATATATGAAATTTCTTAAAAAGACTAAAGGACAATATAATAAATCATACTGTGTTTGACATGATGAATAGAATAAATAAAGATATAAATTGCATAGATATTAATGAATATTATAAATCGTAATAACTAATTTCATTTTTAATTGAGTATAAATAATTCTAAATGTACAAAAACCGAATACATGAGAGTATATGTAAACATGTTAGCATAATATATGTTGATGGGGGAATTCAATCATTGTGGTTACCAATCAGTATATAAATGATGATAACAAAATATGAAAAAATAGCAAATGTTCTAGTCAATAAAGAAGTAAAGTTTTAAATAAATGACAACAATATTGTACGTGAGATTTGTCTAAATCAAAGTACATAAAGAAAAAAAAGGGTTTCAAATATACGATCTAAGTAATTATTATCAACTTTATTATTACGAACAAATTCATCATTATTTATATCACATGAATACGGAGAACTATTGACGAAACTAACAAAAAAAAACGCCAATAATGAATTGATGGATGTTATCAATTCATTTAGTTTAATAAATAAAAGTAATAACAGTAAATTGATGTAGTATACACAATGAGTAGAAGGTAAACATTTATACTACAATTGTTATAATGAAAAATACAAGATAATATATACTTAAAATGAACTATAACTTACAAAATAGAGATCACTGAGTGAAAAGACAAAATATTCACAGAATTACATGGATAGTACTGACATACGAAAGAGGCAAGAAACATATTCAGAAGAGAAAATAAATGACACAGGAAATAAAACATAGAAATTTCATCATCAACAACAAAGACTAATAAAAAAATATCGATGAGTAAGATTCATTTTACTATTGATAAGCGGGTTGCTTTTTCATTGAGCACTCATTTACTATATATAATAGTTGAAAGTAATTTCATTAAGAAGAAATTTCTCCATCCACTTCTCATCAACACTATAACCATATAATATTCTAAGTAAATATAATATCAAAATAAAGTGTGAAAACAGATAATATAATTGGATTAAAGGATTCCTTTCTGTCTATCATTGAAAAAATATACTTCTCTTTCTACCTTGTCTTTTGAGAGTCAGTTCCACATATGAATTGATGTTATTCAAGAGTGAATAAAAAGATTTACAAATGTTGTACGTCATTAACACCAAATTCAATTAGAACTGTTATAATTCACAAGACATCACAATATGCTTGTGTAGAGACAATAAATGAGCATATTTTTCAGTAGTATATATATATATTTATAAAAGAGGAATGTTGTATAGAAAGTAATGTAATTTATAAAACTTTAACCTTAATGTTTTCAGGATAATAACATTCATTAATTATTTACGTTTCCATTTACTATGAAAAGAAACGTCAAGTTTAATTAGTTGACTGAATTGTAATTAATTTCTTATTCACAGCTTTAGAAATTGGTTTTGGATCAGGCATAATGATCTCAGTTGGTTTCATGATTATTTTTGATCTTGGTACTGATGGTATACGACGTACATAATCATTTATTGGCTAAATAAACAAAATAGGGGGAGAAAGTTATGTATTAGCTAAAATAAAACATTATGAAATGTGTACATGATATTACAAATTGACTTATCAAAAATAAACTAAAGAACATATCAAATTGAATGGTATGAAAAAATCCATATTAACAAAAAGAAACTCTGTGAAATATGTTGCATTCTACGTCAATAACATCGAATCTGTCAATTTCAATAAGTACTTCACACAAATCACCATTTAGCAAAGTCATCAATAGGATGATCAAATGATGGATGGTCACAAATAAATGTTCATATATCTCAAAAAGTATATGACTAGCAAATTTTGTAAGTCAGTGATAGATCAACGCACAATTTGGGAGAGATTTCAGTTAGGATAGATTTTCATATCATATGAACACAAATAGATGAAATTAACATAATGAACAATTTAAGTAGAAGTAGTGTAGTGAACAGAACACTGGTTGGGGACAATCGAATGTATTTAAGCAAAAATTACAGACTATCTCAGTAAATTCTGATAGCCAAACAATGAACAGTCCATTTGCAAATTAACAACCAATTGTAGGTATCATTACCAAATTTTGATTCGATAATTTTGAATAAATTGAGCATTGGATACATTGTTATAAATAAATAGTATATCTGTAATATCCCAATGAGTAGAAAATCTAATTTTTCTACTCATTTGGATATTACAAATATATTATTTATTTATAACAACCAATTGTTTCAATCTTCACTGTTTCTTCTCCGATTCCATTGCTCATGCATTTTCCTACCGACTGTGCTTCATTTCAGTTCTTTCCTTATCGGTCTTCTGCCAAAATACATTCCATGTCTGACCAACACCATATACTACTTATATGGATATAAGTAGACCACACCACAGCAGCAGTAACAGTAGCATCAAAAACAGAAAATTGAGACGATCTCGTACAAGAAGAAGAAATCAAAAGGTCTGTATGGGAGGATATTGGAAATTTAGATCTACAAAGACATAAAGAGTGAGTGTATGTGTGCTATTGTGACCGATTCTCAGACATGTCATTCAACATTTGCAACCATTGATCGCGGTTATCATGCGGATCACAACTAGGTAGTTTGCATTTACATACAATGTTCAGACTAACAATCAATACCTTCATGAATTGATGCACGAATCTGTTTGGCCATTTCTAGCATTTCATAACAACATTGCTAAATGCTATAATAACTAATAGATCAAAAGGGATTTTGTGGTTGTGTCTATAGAATATCTGTTTCACAACAATTCTATTCGAACAAACATAGAGTAACAGACTAGAAAGGGAACCCTGTTTTAGCAATCATCTTAGTTCGTTCGAACAAACTATTGAGTATTGACAGATTAACATTATAATACTTGTTTCACACAAGTCACATTAACTAAATAAGTATCAAGTAAACGCATTATCATATATGGTGATAATCAAAAGTTAACAAAAAAACACAACAAAATTGGTTAAAATATGCTCAAGTAGTGGAAACGGGATTATACATGTTTTTTCTCCATATACAAAAACAGTTATCTGAAAGCAAAATTATTAAATATGATTAGTATCATATTTATAATTAGTTATCTTGGCATGGAAATTTTCGAGTATTTGGCATCGTATAAGTCTATCAATTAAAATTGCCAAGTAATTCATAACTTTCATTCTTTGTGAGTACTATAAGTTTCGTCAATTTGATGATATATATAGTTATAATCTAAGAAGAATAGTCTGATATTCTATGTCGATTTGGAGGAACTAAATACACTAACATGATTGGTTGAGTAGTGCTAAGTTGATAGTTTCTCCGTTTCGATTGGTTTGTGATTCATGGTTGAACTAGAATATTTCATATGAGAAAAACATTTTACTGTAGAAAATTGGCAATTAAATACACATATATGTTGCGAATAGTTTTTTTGATATTACTATTTTACTTTATATGCCAGTTACGTGGAAGTTTTCTAAGGTGTTGCGCAGTCTAGGCATTCTCCTAATGGATAGGTTATTAAGCTGTCAGACCAAACACGGTATACCAGTCAAGAGAAACCTCATTGCAGTTTTCTGGTTGGCTGAAGCTGTTTAAGGTATTACGCTTTTGTAATGGTTAAATTACTACACCGAATCACACAAAGATTTATAAGTACAATATGATGAAACAAATAGAAGCCGTACTTGTACTGATTCTAGATATGGTTTCTTCATGGAAACATTCAAATAATAGTAACCATCTACACCGCTCTTATCATTTTTATCACACTGTGAGCGAATAATTTGAATTGGTTTGGTTGCTGGCGACAATGATGCTGATGATGAGGTAAACACAGTTTGTGAACATTTTGTATCTTGTGATTCAGTTGACATATTTGAACTAGTTGGAGAATAGATTGATGAATTTATGGGAAAATTAGAGTTAACAGCAGTTGGATAATTGGAATAAATAGGTATATTCCATACGTTGGCTGTTGTTGACAATGGCGGCGGCACTAATGTTTCGTCTAATCTGGTTATTAAACCATCAATGGAAGAATTAATACCAGTGCCAGAATAATCACCTTTCTTAACTGTTTCCTGCTCAATTTTTAAAGGAGACTTTTCACGTTTTTGCCATGGTTGTTCAAGACTTATCTCAGAACTAGTAGTTGATGAGCGACGATTCACATTGACGGATAAAATTTGTTCACTTGTCCACCGATTTATTCGTGATGACGGTGTCATTGATGAAGTTGTTAAAATGATGGGGATATCCGGTTTTTGTGTTATACCGCTACTATATCCTATAAGGTTTAAAAAGTAAACAAATACAGAACAATTCAAAATTATGAATTAGTTCTACGCCAAAATCAATAAAAGTTCGGTGTACTCGGCTTTCAATTATATTTGTATGTGTGAAGCATTCAAACTGAAGTATATTTATATAGCTTGAATTGTTATCCGATAATTAATAGCCAAGGTTTTAAAATCGTTTAATCTGTTTACTCTGGTTAGTGTTTTTTAGCAGGTGAGGATTGAAAAAGCAAGGGCCGCATTCCTACAATTGAAGAACATATGAAACTGAAAACAACTGTCAATCAATATCAAATTAAGAATCTTTAATACGAACGTCAACACAGTTCTGTTGTACGGAGCTAAAACGTGGAGAACTACTACAACCATCGTCAAGAAGTTACAATTATTTATAAATAGTTTTCTACGCAAAATACCCAACATCCATTGGTCGGATGCCATCAGCAAAAGCCTACTGTGAGAGGACAAACCAGGTTCCAACTGTAGAGGAAGTTAGGAAAAGACGTTAGAAGTGGATGGAACATACGTTGAGGAAATCACCAAACTGCATCACGAGGCAAGCGCTAACTTGGAATCCTGAAGGGAAATGGAAAAGAGGAAGGCCGAAAAACGCACTGCTCCGAGAATTGGAAGCAGATATGAAAAGAACGAATAACAATTGGCAAGAACTGGAAAAGATTGACCAGGACAGGGTTGGATGGAGAATGCTGATGGGCGTCCTATGCTCTCCCCCACGAGGGCTAACAGGAGTCAGTAAGTATGTAAGGTTTTGAAAATTGAACTATTGTTTTACTTTAAAAGAAACTTAGTCGCATAGGTATGTTTATATATAGAATAAGAAGTAAGAATTGGTATAGATTTCTGTTCAGGGTATCCATATTATTTAGTTATTCCAATGCCCCCAAATGCCCTAGTACGGACGAGAGTGGGGAGAGTCACCTCTCCCTCTCGAAATGCTCTCACATGGCCACGCGAATATATAGCCTCTGTCAGGGAAGTCCTAACTCCGCCTGTAGCTCTTCTAGAGTTACTGCCGGTCCCAAGCCCGGGTAAAGGAGTAGGGTTGGGTATGGGGTTAGCGACCCCATCCCGTAGAAAAGCTAACTCGCTAAAAAAACGCTAACCAGAAAAAATAATTCAAACCATTTAAACTCTGCCCTGGAATAATTATGACGTCTCATGATGAAAGCCGAAATTCTTCGGAAGTCACGAGACCGATGCACCTTCTAAAAACCAGAGCAACACTCTTTATAGGTACATGGAACGTCCGGACAATGTGGGAGACAGGAAAGACCAGCCAAATAGCAATGGAAATGAGGAGATACAACTTGGCAGTACTCGGAATCAGCGAAAACCATTGGACACAAACTGGACAACAAAGGCTAGGTACAGGAGAGATGCTGCTGTACTCCGGTCACGAAGGGGAAAATGCTCCACACACTCAGAGAGTTGCTCTAATGCTGTCCAAAGAAGCAAGAAATGCACTTGTGGGATGGGAATCTCATGGACCCAGGATAATCAAAGCATCATTCAGAACAAAGAAGCAAGGGATCACAATGAACGTTATCCAATGTTATGCACCCACCAATGATAGCAACGACGATGATAAAGATCAGTTCTATGAAAGGCTGCAATCAATTATAGAGAAGTGCTCACGAAAGGACCTCACCATCCTGATGGGAGATCTAAATGCTAAAGTTGGAGTGGACAACACAGGATATGAAGATATAATCGGACGACACGGACTAGGAGAAAGAAATGAAAATGGGGAGAGACTTGCAAACCTATGTGCTTTCAACAAATTGGTTATAGGCGGCACAATATTCCCACACAAACGCATACACAAAGCTACATGGATCTCACCGGACCATACCACAGAGAACCAGATAGATCACATCTGTATCAACAAAAAATTCCGAAGATCAATGGAAGATGTAAGAACCCGGAGAGGAGCTGACATAGCTTCAGATCACCACCTGGTTGTGGCCAAGATGAGACTGAAGCTTAAGAAAGACTGGACAACTGGACAAACAGCACTACAAAGGTTTAATACAGCCTTCCTTCGAGATACTGACAAGCTCCATGAATTCAAGATAACTCTCAACAACAGGTTCCAAGCTCTACAGGATCTACTGAAAGAACAAGAAACTACTTTGGAGGACAACTGGAAAGGGATAAAAGAAGCACTAACTTCAACGTGTCAGGAGGTTCTTGGTCCTAAGAAGCATCATCACAAAGAATGCATCTCTATGAGAACACTGGACAAAATTCAAGAAAGGAAGAACAAGAAACTAGCAATTAACAACAGCCGAACACGAGCAGAGAAAGTCAAAGCACAAGCAGACTACGCAGAAGCAAACAGGGAAGTGAAGAAAAGCATTAAAGCCGACAAGCAGAAATACATGGGAGAACTAGCAACGACGGCGGAAAAAGCTGCTAGAGAAGGGAATATGAAACAACTATATGATACAACGAAGAAATTGGCAGGGAGATATAGCAAACCAGAGAGACGAGTCAAGGACAAAGAAGGAAAGGCAATCACGGATATTGAAGAACAGAGGAAAAGATAGGCAGAATACTTCGAGGAACTGCTGAATAGACCAGCCCCATTGAATCCACCGAACATCGAAGCAGCCCACACTGACCTTCCAAAAGATGTCACTCCACCAACGATCGAAGAAGTCAAGATGGCCATCAGACAAATCAAAAGTGGGAAGGCGGCAGGACCTGACAATATACCAGCAGAAGCACTGAAGTCAGACATTAAAATAACTGCAAACATGCTTCACTTTCTATTCAAAAAGATTTGGGAAGAGGAACAAGTGCCAACGGACTGAAAAGAAGGATATCTCATCAAGATACCAAAGAAAGGAGATCTGAGCCTATGTGAGAACTACAGAGGTATCAGTTTGTTATCAGTACCAGGAAAAGTTTTCAACAGAGTTCTGCTGAATCGGATGAAAGACGCAGTAGACGCCGAACTAAGGGATCATCAGACTGGATTCCGTAAGGATCGGTCGTGCACAGACCAGATTGCGACACTACGGATCATCGTTGAACAATCAGTTGAGTGGAACTCATCACTATACGTCAACTTTATTGACTATGAGAAGGCGTTTGACAGCGTGGATAGGAGAACATTATGGAAACTTCTTCGACACTATGGAGTTCCTCAGAAGATCGTCAACATTATCCAAAACTCATACGATGGATTACAGTGCAAAGTGGTGCATGGAGGACAGCTGACAGATGCATTTCCAGTAAGGACCGGAGTCAGACAAGGCTGTCTACTCTCCCCATTCCTCTTCCTTCTAGTGATTGACTGGATTATGAAGAATTCGACATCTGAAGGGAAATACGGAATACAATGGACAGCTCAGAATCAATTAGATGATTTGGACTTCCCAGATGACCTAGCCCTCCTCTCTCATACACACGACTAAATGCAGATGAAGACAGCAAATGTAGCAGCAGCCTCCGCATCGATAGGTCTCCACATTCACAAAGGAAAAAGCAAGATTCTCAAATGCAACACGGAGAACACCAACCCAATCACACTTGACGGCGAAACTCTGGAAGAGGTGGAAACATTCACGTACCTGGGGAGCATCGTTGATAAACAAGGAGGATCGGATGCAGATGTAAAGGCGAGGATTGGCAAAGCAAGGGCAGCATTTCTACAATTGAAGAACATATGGAACTTAAAACAACTCTCAACTAATTTCAAGGTCAGAATCTTCAATACGAACGTCAAGACAGTCAGTTATACTGTATGGAGCTGAAACGTGGAGAACTACTACGGCCATCATCAGGAAGGTACAAGTATTTATAAACAGTTGTCTACGCAAAATACTCAACATCCACTGGTCGGATACTATCAGCAACAGCGTTTTATTGGAGAGGACAAACCAGCTTCCAGCTGAAGAGGAAATTAGGAAAAGACGTTGGAAGTGGATCGGACATACATTAAGGAAATCACCAATGTGCATCACGACTCAATCCCTAACTTGGAATCCGGAAGGGAAGCGGAAAAGAGGAAGGCCAACGAACACACTACGCCGGGAAATAGAAGCCGATATGAAAAGGCTGAATAGTAACTGGAAAGAACTGGAAAGGAAGGCTCAGGACAGAGTTGGATGGAGAATGCTGGTGAGCGGCCTATGCTCCTCGACGAGGGGTAACAGGCGTAAGTAAGTAAGTAAGTAGGGAAGTCCTACTCACTGCCTTCTCGTGGCGGGGGTGTTGTTTACGAAAGAGAGAGGACGAAAGACGAATGTCCAGCGCCTTAACCGGGTTGGTGGATGTGGAGGATCCACCTAGGAGAGTTGGAAAACCCTGATTCCAAACCAATGGTGCACATGGACTCCAGTATCCTCATGGAACGAATGGCGTATGAACCCATTGTTGGTCACCGGCTACCATGGGACTGCATCTCCTCACGATGCTCCACTGTCTTGTGGATTAGACCTTTAGGTCAAAGGCTCGGGGTGTGGTCCCCTAAGAAAACCACCTGCCTCAGTCTGGGCACCTGAGCAGTATCACAGCCCTCACACAAATCGAATGAGATTTGTGAGGCGCATATTCATCTGGTGCTTTTTGTACCAATATTTATGTGTTTAAATAAATAATAATAATAATAAGTTATTCCAATAGAAGTATATGGATCAGTAATATACTTCTGTAATCATGAAATTCGTGATCGTATATATATATATATATATATATATATATATATATATATATATATTGTATAGTTTTGGTAATGAACTAGTCGAATTACTTAGGTTTGATAAAATCGACGAATATATTTAAAAGCTAGTGGACTTTTGTCTAAATGGTTGAATTATTAAATGTTCAATGGCTTTTAGATACAACGGTAATTTAGTTTTCATAAGTAATCGTCGTTCAGCTGGAATTCCCGTTAAGGCTCTCAAATAAACAGTTGTATATTCTCATTACTGATAATTCAGCTACAATTATTATGGATTGTACATAATTGTGGAAAATTACTTAAGAAAAAAAAACTTACCAACATTTGGTCGGTTAATAATAATTTCTTTATTCTGTGTAAATCTTGATAAACGTAGTTGTGAGGATTTTTGTAGTGTGGGGTTTGACCCGACAGATAAACTATCATCATTTTTATCATAATCCAATTCATATCGATGTAATACTTTAGAACGATTTGAACTGGGAGATAATCTTGTCAGAATACGATAATGACGACCACCAGTAGTTGCATAACTTTCATCAGGAGAGTTAATGAGAGATGAACTTGATGTTGTTGACTTATATTCATGTACGTTGGTATAAATATGAAAGTGTAATGAATTACGGAAATCAAGGAGAAAATATACGAAAATTACAGTTGATATTTAATAAATATTAATTGAATGATTTTTGTATCAACTTATGATAAATAGTTAAACACAACTAATTGATCGCTAACTTGTATGTACTCAATGATAATGTTCAGTTTGAATTCAATTGACCATGTTAAAATATAGTCACCGGTTTAAGTGATTTAACATTAATGCACTAGTTTTTACTTTCCCGGTAAAAGAAGCATGCACCGACAATCCAGCCAAGAATAAAATATAAGATATTCAGGTTTTACAGTGCTCATAGTTACTTATAATACTGAATTCCGACCCCATGGCTCACTTTTTTGAACTTCGTTAAATTTAAAGTATAGCTCAACTATTGGCCGATCACATTGATGATGACTATCCTACAAGTGACATAGTTGAATTCCACCCAGTCACGACTGCGCACTAAAGTTTTAAATCAGGATGCTGAAACAGTTGCTGTTTATTATCCCATGGTTTCCAATTTTTTGATCCCTCATGCAATTCTATGAAGGAGGCTATCTTCGCACTCTCCGTTTGTTAGAATAATCAAAGACAGTTCATTTCTCAGTGGTTTAGGGTTGAATTAAACAATATTGAAATGAAACTATCGAACTAATAGTAATAGTAATAAAAAAATAATACTTATAAAAGTACACCTCAAAACAAAATCTTGACAATTTAGATAGACTAAGTTAGGATAAACTTAACGCTTAAAGATATTATAATTGTATACACATGAGTCATCATGTGTATTCTGATATTCAGTGATTCGTAACCGGATATAGCTATAGGGCGAAAAATAAGACTTCAAACTGTTATTTCTCTTCAGTGTGATACAACCATTAGTGATGTCACTTGAAATATAAACCTAGAACTAACTGTTTTTGCTTTCATTTACGAGTACTAACCTCAAAAATAACATAAAAGTTGGTTTAGGCAAGTTGGATCATTCAAAATACTCGAACAATATTCAATAACAAACAATGGAATTACCTAGAACTTTTTTCCTAACAAAGGTTTAATTTATTTAATTTGAACGTTGTAAACAACATTGAGATTACAAAATTACGTAAAACAAAATTTAATAATATTACCGGCGATTGGTGTTGAATACTCGGAACATTATTAGTTAGAACACTGCTAGAGATGCTCTCATCAACACTAAAAGAAGGCGAATAAGGAGTTTCAGACTTTGATGATGAAGTATGATCCAACTTTATCTTTTGATTACTCATGAATGTGTAATAAGGACCATTTCCGTATGTTTGCGAAGAACGGACTGCTGGAACATACAGTCGGCCACTATTTTTCATTGCAGCAGCAGTTAATATTGATGCAGATGTAGCAAGACCAGGAGAATAGCCTGATGATTTTGAAGCTATGGACGATACACTGACAGAGCTTAAAGTAATTGGAGTGACTGATAGAGTTTTAGGTAAATAGGTCGGAGAAAATCGAGCACGCTAAAATGTGAATACATAGCAAGAGAGATGGAAACCAGTAAAAAAGGAGTTAAACCAAGAAGAAAATAATTATAAGATGGAGAATAAACTGACATACTTAACAACCTATACGTCAATCAAGTAATTAAATAAACAATCAAAAATTGCGTTCGTTAAATATGAACATCTTAATTGTATTTTACATCAAACACTAAACTAAATCATCATTTTGCTAAGATTTTAAACATGCCTAAAGCTTTTAAAGCAAGTGAGAAAAAAAATTAAATTGAATTCCAAAGAATAAATATATCGATGTCTCAGCTACTTTTTAGTTCATTTGGGTAAAACAATTATAACTAAATATAGATAATGCATTGGAATCAATTGATGGGCGAATGGCTGTAAACAAATCGTCAATCTCACCATATATTAAATGGAATTCGGAAAACAGAAAACAGGTCAGCTGGTATTACAAAACTAATGGCAATTTGTCATAATGATTTCATTAAATATAAAACAAGGACTCCAGTGGCTGAAGGATTTAACTATTAAACATTAGGAGGCAGGTTGAAGTTGCGTTCTACCTTCTTTTTGAATAGCTGACTGGTATTAATTATCTGGTTCAAAAGCTAAATATATACACTTACTAGGAGCATGAGCTACGTTCTAAATTATTTTAAATATTCATTGAATTAAAACATAACTATATAGTAGACAAAATATTTCTTTTAAAAAGTTATTCAATGTTACCTCCTATGTAAGTGGATTAATAAATGAAAAAGAAAGACAAGATGGTACTACTTCACTTTATTATTAAATAATTATCTATCATGAAAAAGCATTGAATAGTATCAATTATAAGTAATTTAATTCTAAGCATATAATAGTACCTTTTACACTGACGAAAAGTATTTTGTTTAAGTTAAAAAAAAACGAGATGAAACAGTCATGATGCATACATGTTAGAATGGCATTGAAAAAAAACGATTTCGGTGAATAAAGACATTAATTAAAGTGTGAGAAAATATACTGATATATAAAATGAAGAACGTGAAAGAAAAGGTCTAAAAACAAAGGAAAAAAGTGATGTAACTCTCAATAGGCACGTGGCAACTTCGTTGATTACTTTGATGTGTTATTTTGAAGATGAAAGATATTTCGAAACATTGGTAGGTAGATCATATTTTTGAATGTGCTTATCAGTGGAACTCAGATCACAGGTTTCATCCCATTTGAGACGTGTCAGCTGAATGTACCTGCATCTCCATGTTAGTGCTCACACAGCGATTATTAAGACATCCATCAAAATAATGGCAGCCCACAGCTGCTGAAAATGCTGGTTAACACGACTCAACGCTAAACTCAAGCAAACAACAAAATTCATTCCTTATCATAACCTTACTATTTATTAGTTCATACCTGTCGTTCGTCGACTACTGTTGTTAAAGTTAGTATTTCCGCTGTTTTACTTTTCCTCCGATAGATTTTTTCTTGCTGCGTTGACGTAGATTGTTGAAAGTTAAACTAGTAAAACTTTGTACCAATTAATACATTTTAGGAGTATATAATTCATGAAAATTCTTTACTAAGTATAACTTTGTGTTTATAGCTCTAAACAATGTGAGTATATACTAGTGGTGACACTTAGATTTCTAAGACGAAGTAGATCGAGTTGGTTTCGAACCTATAACTTCACAGTTGAAAGTTAACTGTTTTATCACTAATCAAATCCTCGATTAACACAAGCAAAAAAGAACTATTATTAATGATGATCTAATTCAGATAGCAACTGTTTGATTTAACGATCAAGAAGAAAATATGTATCGTTAATTATGGACTTGACAGTAAATGTTTACTACATCTGGACAATTGAATATAGGATATTGCACAAATATAACATAATAGTCTATTTAAGGTTGTAATTACTTTTTTTCAGGAAGCATACTCAAGAAATCCAGATCCCAACGAAACCCACCACAAAACAACTTTTATCTTGAATGTTTTTTTCAAGCCTACAATATACAGTTGGTTAACTAACTTAGATATTTCTTGCATACACTTATAACTAACAACTGTTTGCTTCATCAAATAACATTAAGAGTTTAATACTCATTTTCAAAATAATACGGCGAAAAGTAAACTATAATCGTCTTGTCAAACAAAATCTAAAGAGGAAATTGTGAAGTCACGTTGGAAAATAGAAAAAAAAGGATAGAATTACTACTGACGCTTACTATCCACTTACTAATTTCCCATTGGAACTGGAATTATCAGTTAATTGTGGTTTTATATGTGGAGGACTTTCTGTGGGGGATTTAAGGGTTCCAATTTTTGTTTTAGGCACTAATGTTCCATTACGATTGCGCCAAACTGGATCTGAATTGAATTGACCAAGTCGTTTGGGTAGCATATCGGAAGCTGCTCATTAACAAATAATAAAATTTAGAGGGAAAAGATTATACTTCCAAAGTTAATTTAGAAGAAAAATGTTTGCTTATGGTCGAGATGTTGACTGTTAATAGAATCTTTAAAACTATTCAGTGATAAATTCGTGAGTTAAAATCTGTACAGCGGTATGCAATTTGTGTTTGTATTTGTGATGCACTAACTTCACAGTGAAAAGAAACTATACTTTTTAATGTAACACAAAGCTACATTAATATAAATTATATTCAGAAGTCAACTGACTTTGAAGTAACATAAAATGAGAAACAGACTTGATAACTTCTGGAAATCGAAATGATCAAAATTGTAAGTATGAGAAATGTATACGAATATTACAAATTGAATTAGATAAGAATCAATACGTAGATTAGTACTGAAAATAATCACAATCATTGTAGCAGGATATAAACATGAATGTTTGGTCTCGAGAAGAATGAAACAAATTCCCTCAATGCTTATGGCAAAGTTACGACTTGTAAATTCTTTATTTATGTTCACAACTTTGTAGATGAAAACAATGTCGGAAATAAACAAAAAAATCTAAGCACAACAACACTCTTACAGATATTAACTGGGTAATTTAACAACTAGAAAGTGATTAACATTTATGTAAGACTTTAAATTCACCTGAGAAACAATTGAATTTTCATGAATAGTGTCACAATATGAGACAATCATTTTTACCTACAATATTTTGTCTAATTTGTTGATTGTTTTTCCTTGTGAGATTAGTAGTCATTTCCTGTTATACCAAAAATTACAATAAAAGAGCCAATGTGTCCATATAAATTACATGATAAGTCTTTCATGTAAGAATTTAAAAATAACAGGTTGCTTTTATTATTTGACCTAAGTATTGAACTTCCAAATAACTAATATTTTGTAGGGTATTTTAGTGTCAAATCATTTATATATTTCCAGTTGATAATAGTAGTTAAAACTAAAAATAATATGTAAATTGTGTACAAATCATGGATTGATATTAACTGGGGAAACAGTGAAAATGAATTGTAAGCAAAGATGGATAGTAGCTAGCAGTGGAATCCAGGAAGCGCGTTTCGTCCTATTTGGGACTCGTCAGCTGGATGTACCTCTATCTCAGAGTTCATGTTCACTCTGAGACTCGAATACAGTACCTTTCACTTCAAACGCTTCCACTTCTAGCCACTATCCATCTTTGCTTACAATGCTTGTGAATTAAGGCTATATCGGGGCAATATGCACAGTATGCACATATGCCAATTAGAGACTGACTAGTTGCAGTCCTAACACATCGATGGGAAGATTCAAACAAACAATACTAAATGAAAGCGAAAATGAATGTTTAATTTTTCCATAGTAGTCATTTGTCGATTAACATGGCATGTATGTACGTTGAACACCTTTAATTGTCAGAAGGGGTTTTGTGGAGATTTTAGTATTTTTATAGAGTTGAGATCATGAGTCAATTGAAGCTAGACTACCATGGAAAACCTGGAAGCACTGGACGGCCGTTTCGTCCTATTATGGGACTCCTCAGCAGTGCGCGTCCACGAACCCACTCTCGCGGGATTCGAACCCAGGACCTACCAGTTTCGAGCCGAAGCCCTTAACCGATAGACCACTGAGCTGGCATCCAACGGTGTTAATTTCTAACTTCAACTGATTCACGAAATTGAGCAACCATTCACCAATGTCATCAGTGAGTTCCTATCTCACAACAGACCTGGTTGAACTCCACCGGTTACTGCTTCTCACTAGAACTCCAGGAAATACCTCAAGGAGTCAGTCACTAGTGAGCACCTGATTATTATCAGAAGGGGTTTTGTGGAGATTTTAGTATTTTTATAGAGTTGAGATCATGAGTCAATTGAAGCTAGACTACCATGGAAAACCTGGAAGCACTGGACGGCCGTTTCGTCCTATTATGGGACTCCTCAGCAGTGCGCGTCCACGAACCCACTCTCGCGGGATTCGAACCCAGGACCTACCAGTTTCGAGCCGAAGCTCTTAACCGATAGACCACTGAGCTGGCATCCAACGGTCCTGGGTTCGAATCCCGCGAGAGTGGGTTCGTGGACGCGCACTGCTGAGGAGTCCCATAATAGGACGAAACGGCCGTCCAGTGCTTCCAGGTTTTCCATGGTAGTCTAGCTTCAATTGACTCATGATCTCAACTCTATAAAAATACTAAAATCTCCACAAAACCCCTTCTGATAATAATCAGGTGCTCACTAGTGACTGACTCCTTGAGGTATTTCCTGGAGTTCTAGTGAGAAGCAGTAACCGGTGGAGTTCAACCAGGTCTGTTGTGAGATAGGAACTCACTGATGACATTGGTGAATGGTTGCTCAATTTCGTGAATCAGTTGAAGTTAGAAATTAACACCGTTGGATGCCAGCTCAGTGGTCTATCGGTTAAGGGCTTCGGCTCGAAACTGGTAGGTCCTGGGTTCGAATCCCGCGAGAGTGGGTTCGTGGACGCGCACTGCTGAGGAGTCCCATAATAGGACGAAACGGCCGTCCAGTGCTTCCAGGTTTTCCATGGTAGTCTAGCTTCAATTGACTCATGATCTCAACTCTATAAAAATACTAAAATCTCCACAAAACCCCTTCTGATAATAATCAGGTGCTCACTAGTGACTGACTCCTTGAGGTATTTCCTGGAGTTCTAGTGAGAAGCAGTAACCGGTGGAGTTCAACCAGGTCTGTTGTGAGATAGGAACTCACTGATGACATTGGTGAATGGTTGCTCAATTTCGTGAATCAGTTGAAGTTAGAAATTAACACCGTTGGATGCCAGCTCAGTGGTCTATCGGTTAAGGGCTTCGGCTCGAAACTGGTAGGTCCTGGGTTCGAATCCCGCGAGAGTGGGTTCGTGGACGCGCACTGCTGAGGAGTCCCATAATAGGACGAAACGGCCGTCCAGTGCTTCCAGGTTTTCCATGGTAGTCTAGCTTCAATTGACTCATGATCTCAACTCTATAAAAATACTAAAATCTCCACAAAACCCCTTCTGATAATAATCAGGTGCTCACTAGTGACTGACTCCTTGAGGTATTTCCTGGAGTTCTAGTGAGAAGCAGTAACCGGTGGAGTTCAACCAGGTCTGTTGTGAGATAGGAACTCACTGATGACATTGGTGAATGGTTGCTCAATTTCGTGAATCAGTTGAAGTTAGAAATTAACACCGTTGGATGCCAGCTCAGTGGTCTATCGGTTAAGGGCTTCGGCTCGAAACTGGTAGGTCCTGGGTTCGAATCCCGCGAGAGTGGGTTCGTGGACGCGCACTGCTGAGGAGTCCCATAATAGGACGAAACGGCCGTCCAGTGCTTCCAGGTTTTCCATGGTAGTCTAGCTTCAATTGACTCATGATCTCAACTCTATAAAAATACTAAAATCTCCACAAAACCCCTTCTGATAATAATCAGGTGCTCACTAGTGACTGACTCCTTGAGGTATTTCCTGGAGTTCTAGTGAGAAGCAGTAACCGGTGGAGTTCAACCAGGTCTGTTGTGAGATAGGAACTCACTGATGACATTGGTGAATGGTTGCTCAATTTCGTGAATCAGTTGAAGTTAGAAATTAACACCGTTGGATGCCAGCTCAGTGGTCTATCGGTTAAGGGCTTCGGCTCGAAACTGGTAGGTCCTGGGTTCGAATCCCGCGAGAGTGGGTTCGTGGACGCGCACTGCTGAGGAGTCCCATAATAGGACGAAACGGCCGTCCAGTGCTTCCAGGTTTTCCATGGTAGTCTAGCTTCAATTGACTCATGATCTCAACTCTATAAAAATACTAAAATCTCCACAAAACCCCTTCTGATAATAATCAGGTGCTCACTAGTGACTGACTCCTTGAGGTATTTCCTGGAGTTCTAGTGAGAAGCAGTAACCGGTGGAGTTCAACCAGGTCTGTTGTGAGATAGGAACTCACTGATGACATTGGTGAATGGTTGCTCAATTTCGTGAATCAGTTGAAGTTAGAAATTAACACCGTTGGATGCCAGCTCAGTGGTCTATCGGTTAAGGGCTTCGGCTCGAAACTGGTAGGTCCTGGGTTCGAATCCCGCGAGAGTGGGTTCGTGGACGCGCACTGCTGAGGAGTCCCATAATAGGACGAAACGGCCGTCCAGTGCTTCCAGGTTTTCCATGGTAGTCTAGCTTCAATTGACTCATGATCTCAACTCTATAAAAATACTAAAATCTCCACAAAACCCCTTCTGATAATAATCAGGTGCTCACTAGTGACTGACTCCTTGAGGTATTTCCTGGAGTTCTAGTGAGAAGCAGTAACCGGTGGAGTTCAACCAGGTCTGTTGTGAGATAGGAACTCACTGATGACATTGGTGAATGGTTGCTCAATTTCGTGAATCAGTTGAAGTTAGAAATTAACACCGTTGGATGCCAGCTCAGTGGTCTATCGGTTAAGGGCTTCGGCTCGAAACTGGTAGGTCCTGGGTTCGAATCCCGCGAGAGTGGGTTCGTGGACGCGCACTGCTGAGGAGTCCCATAATAGGACGAAACGGCCGTCCAGTGCTTCCAGGTTTTCCATGGTAGTCTAGCTTCAATTGACTCATGATCTCAACTCTATAAAAATACTAAAATCTCCACAAAACCCCTTCTGATAATAATCAGGTGCTCACTAGTGACTGACTCCTTGAGGTATTTCCTGGAGTTCTAGTGAGAAGCAGTAACCGGTGGAGTTCAACCAGGTCTGTTGTGAGATAGGAACTCACTGATGACATTGGTGAATGGTTGCTCAATTTCGTGAATCAGTTGAAGTTAGAAATTAACACCGTTGGATGCCAGCTCAGTGGTCTATCGGTTAAGGGCTTCGGCTCGAAACTGGTAGGTCCTGGGTTCGAACCTTTAATTGTATTTTTTTCAAGATACGAAAAACTTTTAGAAGCATCTAGAAAGGACACATGACTACAATTAACTTTCTCTGAGTAGTAATGGTAGTAAGTAATATCATATTGTTTGCTTCGTGGTCTAAACCAAATTTTATTAATCACTTTCCCCTTAAGGTCAAAAGGCTTAGTGACTCGACAACACAGTGGTGTTAGACAAGTGTAGGAGTTTATTGGCGATTTCCCAACGTATATCTTTTGGAGATTATAAGTAGCCGTTAATAAAAATTGCCAATATGTAGTGAACTTTATCTTCTCCCATTATTCGAATTCACATCATCGAGTGAGCAGTTACCACTTAAACACTCAGAAATGCATGATTTCAGACTAAAACAAACTATCAACATCTAAGAATTTTTAGCATTACTCTTATGTTACATCAGAATACAAATATCGTTCACACTTCCATTTACTATTGTACTAAAAAAAGCATAAGTCAGACCATTAAAAAACCTTTCAAATCAAAATTTTAGCGAATGATAGCCGCACTTTATCGCGGTCATTAGATGATTTTCGTTAAAGTATCAGAACAAAACGAACGATTAGTAGAAACGTACACATACAATAATATTGTTTTAGCCCACAAAAATCTCAGTCAGTCATAGACAATGTAGGATCCGTAACGAATAATAGGTAACGATTCATGCTGATAAAAGTTACATCGGTAAGAAAAGATAAGAAATTAATATGACAATAAGTAAAGGAGAGGTAATGGTAGTATTTATGGTGGAAGGCTATATATGACAGTAGTTCACGACAGATCTATTGTGAAGAACTGAATGTGAACTTCTATACACTGAGGTCAATAATGTTGTCAGTCAATAAATTTGAGTGAGATATTTCCTTCACATTCCAGATGGTACTTAGAAAAAAAACACTTCGAGAATTCGAAAGTGAGTTTACTACTGGTTTTTAAAAAATTATACACAAAAATAGAAAATTATGTGTTTCTAGTAAAAGAAAAATTAATAGATTTCCATTTTGTTACTGAATCTATTCAGTTAGAATGTGTTAGTACAATACAATATGAGAAAGATGGATAATGTCCATGGCTTTCCCTTAGTGACAGCGTGGCTATAAAATAACATATATTTCAGTCCAAAAACTTCTGATTTTGTTGAGAGATCGTTACCAAACGTGTATGAGAGTTGACAACTTCAATTAAACATAGACTCACAGAAACAAACCATATGCAATCAAAATAACTTACCCAGTGGCGGAGGCGTATCTAATTTATTCTTATGTAATAACTCTAAACAATCTTTTAGTGAATCAATTACATCATCATCATCGAATAAAAAGTCCTTGACCAATTCATCTTGAAAAAATGATGTCATTTGCATCTGATCCATTCGTAATAATCTTTCTAGAATGAAAATAAATAAATACACGTCAGGACAAATAAAATGTGAACTTGTGTAACTCATTTAAAACCTTACTCTGTCAACTAGTCTCGATTATCAGATTGCCTTAATCTCACACTTATGTTATTTCTGATTGTTGTCAATCACTTACACTATCAAATTTAAGTCCATTCTATGTGCTTACTGAGACATCGGTTAACCTTTTATTTTCCAGGTTCTCTGACATACTGTTCCTTAAAGCCCACAAAGTATCTTCACGTTAAACTCAAACCTACCTAAGACTAAATATTACACTTGATCAATATTACTGAACTAAGAAACTTATTAAACGATTCGAACGAAATGAATTGATGAGTGGTTAGGAGTAAATAGAAAAAAATATGAATATGATTCCTACTACTATGGTGGCCTATCTGATACTATAATCGGTATTAAACCATCAGGTTATAGGTTCGAACCAGCTCTATCTGCTTCAGTTTACGTGCTGAATCGTATAATTAGTCAGCATACAAAGAATGTCTCCCTATAATTAGGGTACACAACCGTGAGCCAAGTAAATGAGTTAATTTATTACAAATAAAAAAATAATCACCGGCTGTTTTATATTTTATTTAAAATAATTCTGATTTGTTCATTCGTTAACAGATAAGCAATTCATAGCTTATATTACCTAGGCTGAACGTATACTGTAGACAACGAACAACTTTAATTTCCGAATCTATATTCACATGAGCTTTTTAAGTTGACTGATGGATTAAACTTTATACAACCGAGGTTTGGAGTTATCGTATGAAAAAAATAATTAGACTACTCACGTCAATCACTATTAATATTGTTTCAAATCGACTGTGCTGCCGTGAAATGACTATTAACTCTTTTTTCTAATTTGGTTAAGGTTGTAAGAAACAAAGGCGAATAGAAAAAAACGTATTCTCCTTTTACTGTTCTTGATCTGTAGTGATTTTAAACAAATAAAATAAGTTTTACGCAGAACTTAGGTGATTTTTAGTGGGGATTCGAAAGATAATGCTGGTTTTTACTGTTGTATTTCAATACTATGTGAAAATATGACAGAACTAATACTACGGCCACTACCATGTAATCTTATCAACAATGAAAACTAATGCAAAAACTTCAAAGTGAATCCTTACAAATCAATCAAACAGTTGTTTGGATTCGTTTTATTATTACTTTAACAGGATGGATGATCAAGTGATTTATTCTTGATAAATAGTTGAACAAAGTCAACAATATTGTCTTTTTAATGAGTCAAAAAGAAGTATGAACCAAACACAGAAAACACTTCATCAACAGGTGTTGCTTATCTTGACAAGCAAGAATAAAATAAACATCATTAAGTCTAGATTTGACCTTATTACCAAAAGTGAACATCATATTATGATGCTAATCATTATTCTTGTCAACTGAACATAAAAAAGTCCAAAAATATGCGATTATAATCATTTGAATACTTTTAGTTTTGTTTCTATATACTTCAGTTTTCGACTAGCCAATACGTATAAAATTCATTTTTTAAGGAAGATAACTTTTAGGTTAGCAGATTTGATACATAACAACAGTGAGTTTTTGGTCTCTTCAAAACAAACTATTTTCCATTGATATTTACGTGGTTGAAGATCATCCACAGGAAACTTTGCACTGATACCTTGTAGAACTAGGTCTTTTGCAACAGTTGGCTAGTATTTGTTAGCTTCTCATTAAATTCATTACCAAATACCTAAGACTCTATGAAACTGAGTGAAACAGGTTGGGAAAATAATTTAATCCTCTAATATTACTATTGTTAGAAAGAGTTGATTTAAGAGACCGAAAACAAATTAGAAGTAGTTTCACTAACTAAATAAAAAATAATTTAAACGTAAAACTAGACCATCCTTAGTTTACATAGTGTATATCTATCGACAGTTTCGAGATTTTATTCGTAAATGCTCGCAGAATGAAAATAGTAACCACAGTCCACTGCTCCCTTATTTTGTATGATTGCCTAACTGATGCGTCAGTTAAGGATGTAACCCATGAAAAATGTTAACACTACAAGTAATATGCTTAATTTGTCAAAACACAAATGCGTATGATGTATTTCATGTTGACTGGTGCCTTATTTACAAATTTTATGATAATTAGAGTCAAAGGTGGAAGAGATTTGGTTTGCATATCGAGATATCACATGTATAATAAAAAACGTTTAATTTCATTGACAATACGCTTACAAATCTTAAGTGCATGTCTTTGTTACTGAATTACTCAGATAAGCGATTACAAGATAGTGACAGAATTACGACAAAAAATCATATATACACAAATCACTGAAAAGTAAGCAAGATGACACATTTACTAACTGAAATTTTACTAATTGAAAGATTTTTTACTAACTCAAGTGGAGCGGTGGATTAACTATCAAGGGATTCAAATTTTAACCCATAAGTGACGAGTCGGAAACCTGTATCGCCTACTACAATTTGCACAACTAGATTGTGTCACTAACAGTCAGACATAAAAGTGTTTTTACCATACTTCTATGAGTTAAAACATGATATGATACATTATGATTACAGAATACATTTCATATTATCTATATGTCTTACCGAACGTTAGTATAGTAGTCACATGATGCGTGGATATATATATATACACGTAATATGCTGATGAAGTCAATCAATGTAGTTAATAGACATATTTTCAAATGTTTGATGTAATAACAAATAGAAGAAAGAATACTAAACAGTATCTATTCATAAAACAAATAAAACAAAGTACTTTCTAATGCGGGTTTTAGGCTTAGTTACGATATACAAATTCCGTATTGATTGAATACTCATTGAATATTAATAATAGCGAGTTAAGACAGATTTTATGTTTATACGAATTAGTCATATCAAAAAGACAAATAGCATACAAACATGATCAAGTTGGTTTGTGGAACTTTGTTTAATTTGGTACTTTCCAGGATGTGCTGAAATCATTCATAGGAACAGTGAAAATCGAGGAGTATTGAACAAATTGTTTGTTCTGGTAACCCGTCTTAAACAGAGACGAAAACTACTGTTCAGTGTTTTCTAGTTTCTAGTGATTTACTAGTTACTATTAATAAATGATGGAAATGATCGAATTGAAGACCGTTCTACAAACTACCACATTAACTGGATAATGATAGTGCGTTCATTGGTCGGTCTGACGTTGAGTATTTCTGAAATCCAACAAATTGACAACCAATATACTTTGTCATCAGCACCATTGTCTACAATGTGATATTTATAAGCTAAGACAAATTTATAATCTTCGATCAATGATACTTGACTATGTACTGTTTCTTGTTTAAATTATGTTGACTTATAGGTAAGATAATTTCTTGATAAAAAGTAGGATTACGTAAACTATTTTAATTATTTATGTTTAATACGGAAAGATTCAAGAAATATAATACATCATTGGGAGAATCAGAAACATTAACTAGAACTAATTAAATCTCGGCAACCGATTATTATTATTATAAAGAAAAGAAATCATTATTTGTGAATCACATTGTTAATAATCTGTTTTACAGAATGCGTTTCAGTACTCCAGTCTATTGACCAAACTGAATATACGAATTACGTAGGAAGGAATAAGGAATAATGATGATTTTGTAGAAGTATCTTCAAACTTCATTGAACTGATCGAGTATTAAATATGCAATTTACACTAACAATGTCATCGATTGGTTTTTTTCCTGACGATTTCTAATCTAACTTAGTGAACAATTACATGTTTATGTACTCAGCTTTGAGTGATAAATTTTATGCGATATTAGCCAATTGATCACACAAAATAAAGTGTAAAACGGTTGGAACACAAAAGTTGAACTTATAAACGCTAAGCCAGTGCTTCACTTCTTGACTAGGCTTAAATATCTGATTGAATGTATGTAAAACTAGGATATAATCCACCTTTAGAGAACATCTCTTATTACTGTGGTGACCTACTGCAAGACATTTTTTCTTGAAATTTAACACTAATAAGTACGGAGAAAACTGACATCAAGTTTTGAGTGGTATTTGAGAGCAGTTGAGATATCTAAGTGTAGATTATAGTATACATGGTATAATGTAAGTTGATGATATATTGATAGATACAATCGGATTGGGGAAATCCGATTACTTTCGATCTGATTATGCAGTTGAAAAGTGTATTTGAACTATGAATTAAATCGCTTATATTATAATGCAAGCAAACGTTGTATACTGGCCGATGGTCATTGAAACTAATATATTTAGTGAAATAGACATAAATAGATAAATTCATCCAACATGCCGGTGACATGAACCATGTTTGAAAGAAAAAATGATGTTTATGAACAAATGGAGATGGCAAACGTTTAATATCTTTGAAAATTAAGGAAAACATCTTTTAAAACGTTTCTAGGCACGGACACCAATGTTATTTTTCCTTTAAGAGTCATTACGTAAACGGTGTATGATTTCAGGAAATAAAAATTTTGTGGTTACTTATATAAACATCAAAATAAAAGAAATGAAGTAACAACGTTTAGCCTATATATATGGTTATCTTTAGAAGAGATAGTATTTTACATGACCCAAATGGTAAAACAATGTGGACCAGCAATACTGTGTAACTTTTTAAGGCTTTATTTGTAATCGGATTTAAAACACAGTTCAAATGTTCCTTTAGTAAGCCTACACGCCATAGACAAAATGTAAGTAAACTGTATTTAATAACTGACCGCTTAAATGTAAGTAATGCTTATGCAAAAATCAAAAGGCAAATCAAATTCCTTAAGATCGGGAGATTACCAGTAATAAAAACTTCATATTATATTAATACATATGAGCAACTCATTTGAAATGCAATGAAACGTTCTATGCTACGCATATACTTTTCTCTACTATCTGAACAGGAAAAAATATTCATGACGATCATTGGTATTGTATTTTTAAGAACTAACTAGGTCAAAAATTTCTGAACAGAAGGAAGACAAAAACAAGAGTAAGACATTATATCATAGAAGTAAAACAAAAGGATAAGAAAAGGATTGAATAAAATAGAAGGAAAGAAAACAACGAAAAGTGAACGTATTGGTTGAGTAGTAATTGCCCTATGAGAATGGAGATATAGACATATGTACATATTTATGCATGCATATGTTGTATGTATATGTCACTCATGAACGTGTGATTTGATGGTGGGAAAGAGTTTTGAAGCTATCAAAAACAATCTAATTAAGCTCATAAAGATAGTAAATATCTGGGTAGTTACTAGAATTTAACTTTATAGGAAATGGAGAATTTCTTGCTATCATGTCCATGAACTCTATTCAGAATATGACACCGATGGTACAGTGTTGGAAATCACTGTTCGATAGCAAATTATCTTAAATTGTCTCAGTTCAAAACAACTGTAGTAGAAAGGTAGGAGTAAATACAAAGTACTTTGATATGAGCGATTATTAATTAACGACTAGCCTAGATATAAAACAAGTAGCTCGAAACACAATATTCAGAACTGCAATAGGTTCCTGATTTGGATTAAAAAATTTGTTTTTAATCATATAATAAAGGTTTGTCAGCCACTGCAGGAAATAAGATCGAAGACTGGTAAGTGTGATAAATCCATTCACAAAAATCCGTCCTTAATAAGTGTGTTTACTGAAAGAAGTATTATTCCATACAAAGACGGCCGATGATAAAAATTCCAAACACATTACAGGTACACTAAACTCAAATATTCAAGTTTGGATTTTCGGTAATCTTAACTAGTATACAATACATTTAGATATTGTTTAGTTACAAATTGTTCCAAACACGAATCGAGTTCGAAATGGAAAAGGTTCAACATGCTTAGAACGTGTTAAAACATCAAGTACTGACTTTCCACTGAAAATCAGTAAAATTAAAGATGACTCTATAGGTAATTCACTGTATATAAACTGATAACGCTTTTTTTTAATTTAACAAGACATCATTAATTGAACTATTAAAAACTATAAAACTTTGGATAAATATTACAAACAAATCTACGGTTTTTCGTCAATAGGAATCCTCAGCACCTTGTGTATACAAATTTTCAGGTACAGTGATTTTTTATGAGAATGTTTTAAAAAATAAACAAGTAGGAAAACATTTTGTCTGTGAAGGTTAGTGACGCCATTTGATTACTTAGGCTGAAGTATGTGAAGCGAGATTCAAAAGGTATTACAAAGCCAATGGGTTGGAATTTGATAATTCGGTTTTTCAGTTTTAAACTATGCATATAACCAGCACGAAATGTTACTGAAGGGGATCCGTCTTCACTTCTAACTTGATTGACTACATATCTCCCTACCAAAATATCATAAAATCCGAGGAGCACATAATTATTCAGTGACGTCATTTGAGATAAATTAGTCGTTTGTTAATGGATGGGGATCAACGACGTTGGATAATGATCATACTACATAGAAGATCAACTGAAACCGCTGGATTCAAGCCTAATTGCCAAACACTGTAGTACTGGTTAGTACAAATTTGAACTCGATGAGTTAAGAATGTATACTGACAAGGCATCGTAAATTGAGATAAAAAATGATTACTTGTTGGTATAAGTCACTGACGAAAAATATTTTCATTTAATGAAGTTTAGAATTAGCTGGAATAAGTATTGATTCCTAATACTGATATTCGAATGTTTGGGATTAGTTCGTTTGACCCAGCTAAAGCTGAACATATATAACAGCTAGTATGTTAAAAAGAATTATTGATGTAACAGTAATGTAACTCAATTATTGAGTATAAATTTATCTGCTCGAGTTTGATTCTAAAATTCGTGTGTGTATGCAATGGCTAGTGATATTATCCAGTTGCTTAAACCAAAGTAGGGAGACCAGATGATTTGAACGAGTAATCTTATCAGTAAAAGTCAAATGCACTAGTCATTAGCAGTGGCATTCATTTTTTATCTTCAATCAAAATTTTAAGTCAAGTAGTACTCCTAACTTATTACTATTCGATCTCATTCGTTTCTTTTGAAATGTGCTTCTGATGCTTAAATTTATATTGCACAAGAAATAATTCTATACATCTACATTTAATCATGTTAATGTCCCCCATAGCTGTACTGATGTAAGGTGTGAACAACACTTAATGCTTATTGAGTGTAACAATTTAAAAATATTAATTAAGAACCATATCAAGGATAGTCATAATCAACGATTTTCGGCACCACGATCATCCAAAGATAACACAATCATCGCTATATATTGCAAACGAACCACCTTTAAGGAATTAGTTATTAATACCAAATAAGATAATAGTTAGTCAGTTGACTGAAAAATACAATCGACTGATGTAATTACGAACATTTGTCTGTTAAAGGGAACGTATGCGAAGCTACTGCCTACTCCAATGTAATGGTGGCTAGCTTCGACAGAGATAAAAATGATTAAGTCAGTCAAACTAAGATAATAACTGATTGTTTATTTGAGACATTTCTGGAATTATACACGTCTTAGTTGGAGACCAGGCGACAAAGACAATCGCTTCTTGTATATTTTAAGTGACATACATAAAAAACTAATAAGAATAGGGCAGATTTATTTATGCTTGTTTCATTTAACATCTCCGATTCAGTATTACTTCAAAACTCAGTTTCCCAATTGATCTGTTTCTTTTAGCATTTCAGTTTTCATTTGATGTTAACACTGGCGTGAATATCATTACTTTCATTGAATTGGTTCCATCTCTTCATTACACTGATATTAAATAATCTCAACTCAATTTGGTTATATATTCTGACAGATTCTACCCATATGTGACAAAATGAAGCAAATATCTTTTCTCTATCTCCCTGAAATTTTTTACCGAAATAAATTAAATGTAGTTCACAAAAGTTTTAGTTAAATTATCCAAAAAAAACAAAACGATGACATATAGTTGAATGGAAAACAATGGAAATTCACTGAAATAAATTTTTGTAATTTTTCTTTATGACTATTTACTGAGAATTCAGTGCTGTTGGGGTGATTAGTAGACTAAGACACAGATGTTTGACAGAGAGAGAGAGAGACAAAGAAAAAAAAGTTGAGCAAAGAATTACTTTTGTGTCATCAACTGATAAAATGGATTTTACTACAGAACAAATGATAGACCACAGATCATACAAACTGCAAATAGCCCATAGGAATGAACAAAAATGGTAAAATTAAGTGGGAATCTATAAATCAGAATATATTTCTAAATTCGTATTAATATATTAAAAATAAACATAACACTATAATTTAAATTGGGGAGATTTGTATAATTTATTAAATTGTTCAAGCTGATGTAGGTTAAGCCATTTCCAGCTTGTAACACAGTTGTTAGAAGTTAAATACCCTGACAATGAAGTGCAAATGTTCTACTAAAAAGAATTCATTGATTCTGATAATAATGTAAATTAGCGATGAAAACAGTGTTCAGATGAAGAGAACGAAAACATTATTTCTATTCTATATTCATTTACAGAATAAAAATCATTTTTATTATCATTATTAGGAATAGATTTATTCTATGTAATAAAAATAACCATTCAATAGAGACAAAGGACTAAATACTAGGGTGATTTAGGTTGCTAAAGTAGCTTTTAAAAGCACTCAAGAAGGAGTCAAACAGGGTAGTTGAATCTACCCGACCGTATTATGTTTTGATTCCACTTCATTTGTAAACTTTAAGTATTCGTTCAACAGCGTCTTTAAACTATTGCTGGCATATGATAAAACTACCAAGTAATGCTGAGGTTAAACGCAGAGTTTTGGGTAGGAGTAGTAAGTTATTTGATAAGGCTTTCAGCCTCTATCGAATAAAGAATGATTGGTCACCGCCTAGCCCAACGTGCAATCATGACTAGCGTAGGGAAAAATTAATAGAAAATTAATGACGGTTAGATTAAGCCACACTATTGGTATAAAGGTGAGTTGTTTGGGATTCGACTGAGACTTATGAGAGACATTAGTTGACATAGATCACCAAGGTACTATTGCATTCGTTTTCTGTTTTTCGTAGGACTTTCATAATAGTATGATTGCACGCTCTTGATCCTTTGGTGTCATTTGTTTACTTTGAACTGTATTTCGTTTAACTGCGATTGATATCTGCCCCGCTGTTTCCCATCTTGTAAACTTCATCTTTCGTCATGTTGACATATAAGGTGTGAGAACCAGGACCGATAATAATTCAAAGCAGATCCCGAATTGAACAGTCGGAATAATGAACGGAATTTAATCATAATATACATATTGTCAAAATAACAAATTTAGTGACAATTAGTATTACATAACGACAAAAGTAATATGCTTAAACAATTAAATTCACAAAACAAATATTAATAATTACTAAAACAACATACTACTGTGCATTTTCAGTATGTTGTATGCCATAGCCAAGAGAAGCTTTTCACCTTCCAATAAGTAAATATCCCATAATCGAAGTACTAGAGTAACAGGTAACTGAAAAACCAACATATACACATGCATAAATTAAAATTGTCGGTTTCGCAAATATAGCAAGACATTCATATAAAATCAGTAAACATGATTTTTTTAAGAAATTTTACAAAATCACAATGTTGACAAAATGAATGTAACAGATCCAAGTAACAAAACCTGACTAACCAAACTTGGACAATTCATGTATGTGACTGATTGATAAGGTAAAAGTTTATTTACTCTACTTATAACCACACATTTTATGAGAGGGCCAGTGATATAACCTGTGTCAGAGCTATAGTAAATGGGGACAGAGTTAGCAGATGCAAATAAATGGTTGTAGTTTGCGTGCCACCGCCACTAAGTTACCGTTCCATATAAATAAAATAAATAAATAACTAAAAGCAAAAGACTATGTGCAGCTCCAGGCACTGAATTGCGATTTATATCTGTGGTGCGCAAGAGAACAGCACTATCAGGTTGACAAGATTATAATATACGAAACAGGATTGCGACTTGAAATATAAATATTACATATCATGTTTCATATGGTTGTGATAGAGCTTAAAGTTAATTTGAATAATCATCAGTGCCAATATGTCGTGGTCAAAGGCACATTACCTGAAACTACTTAGTGACTAAGGCAGTAAAACACCTGCCCGATTATCTCTAACAATGTAGTTGTAACTTATGTAGTAGGTAGAGATAGACATGCTCAACTTTGAGTTAGATTATTTCTATTTGAGGGCCAGTGATACTATAATAAACGAGAACACAGGTGGATATTTTAATACAAGGTTCTTTGGTCAAATGTTAAAACCATACGTTCAATACTTCACTTGCGAATCCTCCACCAATTGTCTCAAACTTCATTATGTCATTGCTATAATAATTACTCTCTGTTCCAGATCTTTTCGATTCGATCTTCCCAACTTTCTGCTGCCAGGCATTCCACTTCTCATTAGTGTTATATGCTACTTATGTCTGTCAACATAAGTAGCATACACCACAATACTACCTGGCTCCCTAAAATGAAATAGACGGAAGGAGGTTAAACTTGAGACCCAGTTGTTGAAAGACTAGAGTTTTGGCTACTCCAGTCATTTTAGTTTATGCAGCTTCACGATTCAGTAAAATTTTTCACTTATAAACAAATATCAATGTTGTAATGCAAAACAGTTGAGGACCATGGTTTATACTTAGGATATGCTGTTAGTTAGAAATAGCCTAAAACCACAAGTAATATAATTACGAACAAAGGTTTACAGTACTTTAGTGAAGTTCAGATAAATGTTTGAAACGGAACCGAAATCCCTAATAAAAGCAATAGAGTACAAAATATGTAATTAAACAATATTTAAGATTGATATGTATTTTAAGTGTTGAAAAAATATTTATGCACAGTAGAAATGTTATGGTTATTAAAAGTCATGATGAAGATAACGCATTACATAATCGTAACAAAAAAAAATATAGATGACTACATAATCAGTCAATATAATTAGAACCAAAGTCAAATTAATAAATGCTCACCGATAAGATTACGTAAGAGATGAAAAATTATTTGACTGAAATCACACTACCCATGGCAAGGACGGAATTATAACGCTTTCCTCTTATACACATAAGTCGGGTCGAAAATGTTTGATAGCGATTGCCTGTATAAAACAGTGGAACTAATATTGATTATTTATTAATGATTCTGGAAACTTAGAGATATTCTTCTTAAGTTCATTATCCATCAGGTGCCTATCGATTAAAGCGTCTTTTAGATATGTTTATACGAAAGTGTTCAGGAAACCTAGAGGAAACTCTTGTATAAATGCTGCACAAAGTATATATCAATCCATAAATGCAAACGGATGTGACGTCGGAAGTTTACTGACCTACTTTGAATGGTTTAATGAGCATTTGGTATTGTATAGTGAAATCAGCTAAGTTGTTAAAAAAGTTTTTTTTAGGTGTCACCCTAATTCTTTTGTCAATTCCTTTCGAAATCTTATCGTCATTTAACGGGAGACGGATGAAGATAAGCTTTCTTAAATATTCAATTATGTGATTTTTAAGAATACTCTTTTTCACATGTTTTAATGAATTCCTTCGGGCATGTCATTTCAATAAGGTACTTTCGATAATTTCCAGCTCACCACTTATTTTATCGTTTACGTGTACTACTTTAGTTATAGTTAAAAAGGGGGATTTTAATAAGGCACTGTTTGGAAATGGCAGGACAAAGGCTGATATAGTTTAATTATTGCTTCATCACTTTTTGGATGACGGTGGTATTGTAGTGCGAATGTACTGAAGTTAGAAATATGGATGATTAGGTTCGAACTCAGTGGGCAGGAGAGAACGGTTCCACATCAATACGTGAGGTTCTGGGGTTCCATAAAATAGGAACGATGACTGTGGACTACCGAGCAGTCCTGGATTAGGATAAGACAGGTTTCAAGTACTCAACTGTGGTTCAGTGATTGTATACATAAAATAATATTATGGGCTGTTACCACTATTCATTAGAAAAGAAATAAACGTTTACCTATTAGAAAACTCACTCTATCTAAAAAGCATTGCATGTACCACTTCAAAGCATATGTACTAGTTAACATATCATGTTTAGTAAAATGCTTATCCAATATAGGCAACAATTTACGAACAATACGTTCATGGTGAGTAAATAAACGTTTTAATCCAGGAAAGCCAGCGACATATACACTATGCATATTATATCGATAACTGGTCATCAGTTGATTCAATGCCCAAAATGCATCTTCTTCATCTTCAATGTATATAAGAAACAATCCAGCCAATTCACTCATTCCCTGAAAAAAAAAATATTAATAGTATTTTTTTAAAGTTACAGAATTCGTCAATTCGGAGCTTGGAGTGAATAATAATAATAATAATAATAATAATAATAATAATAATAATAATAATAATAATAACAATGCTAGAGATTCTGACAAATAACATCACAGTCCTCACGCATTTGATCGTTAAAAATAACTAGTTCAAAAAACTAAGTGGTCACTGAATCGTTTCAGCAGTAATTATCAGATGTCGGTATTTTAGGAAACTGAGGACCGATTAAGTTGATGGAGAATTCGATTTTCACTTAAACAAAACATAGAAAAAAGTTACTTCCCACATCTACTTTCAGTTGAATTTATTGAAGATTGGAAACCATATCTCCCAAACAAAGCACAAAGGGACGAATGCTGATTTTATTTTACTGGAAAAAAATCTCGAATTATTGTTCATTACATCTTATTGTAGAAAATTATGTACAGTACGTTGATTTTTCAGCTGATATCAGTTCATCATAAAAACTAACTTTTAATGTCGTGAGAAGTATGTGATACGAAGGATCCAGAAAGTACAAATGTGGTTCGAATAAAACTTGAAAAGTTTTAAATAAAGATTTCAACCAGTAGTTAGAATTTATGAATGTAGAGAATATGTAATTTGACTAACCTGACAGTATCCAACTTCTGAGTTATACACTGAATAAGCAGCTAAAACACGAAATAATGCACATTGTCGTGGACCGTAACGATCACGAAAGTAAACTGTATTACGAAATGTTCGATTTACATCTAAATCGATTTGGTTGAGTGAACCTGAAGAAGAGAGAGCTTGTTGGAGCATTTTCTATATAATTAAAAAGCACAAAAAAGGAAAATACGTACACTGAGATGATAGGATAAGCACTTATGAATAAACAAAATAAAAGATAAGAGATGATGAATAATTAACACTCATCCTAAAGAAAAAGTAACCATAAAACAATTTTGGTCAAGAGAAAATGATAGGATCAAGTACTGGAAAGTCTGGAATGATACTAAGCTCAAGATTTAGGGGAACATATGGAATAAGCGCAACCAAGCTACTAAACTTTGGGCAGCTTTTTTTAGATCTTGTACGATTCGAATGTGATGCCTATTACCAACTGATATAAATTGGAAAACCTCTAAAAACAAGAAAGCACTGGACGGTTGTATTGGATTAGTTGCATACATTATTCAATCTGTGATTCTCTAGCAAGTCTTACAGTGACCACGATACAATTCAGCCACTCAGTCGGAATCCAATGTTTTACATTTTCAATTTCAATCGATTTGTAGAATAACACGATAATCGTGTACGCATAAGTGACTAGCTTAAAAATGTATTTCCTAAGGTTCTAGGCATACAATATTTCCACAAACTCACTTCAATAAGTAGTATCACATTGTCATGAACGTTAATTATGCATAAATTCGTCAAATTCCAGAGAAAAACATAACAGTGAAAATTAATGATAGAATAACATTTTAATCGTTTAAAAATCCCAATCATATTAAAAGACCAATATTTGAACGAAGAATATTCTTTTCGACAAATTCTCTTCAGGTTCTACAATTATATATCCAAATTAATAATCCGAAAAATTGGCCAGGTTAAAGGCAAAGTACATAGTTTAATGCATGTAAATTTAGATTGTCAAATCAAATAGTTAATGTTGATATGACTCATATAGAATGTTAGCTTGAATCTGTATATATGTTAAGTGAAAATTTAAGATCTGTGATCAGAATATAAATATGGGTCAGATAGGGTGAGAGAGATATGATAGTGCAATTACAAGTCGATCAATTGGAAGACTAAATTGTGTGAAAAATTAGTGAGACGTAATAAGGATGGATCAATGCGATGTGAATGAATCATGTCTAGGGGGGATTAATAATGATATTTAACCAATAATAATAAAAATAATAATAATAAAATACAAAGATTTGTGAATAAAGATAAGAGAGACAATTACATTTGATTACGAAAGGTCGTAAGTATATAGTCAAATTAGGTCATACAATAGCTAAGATGATTGTTCATTAGTTGGCCTTGTGGTTGGCCAAGGGAGGAGTAGGGCTTGGAGATATTTCTTCTGTACGCATAGCTCTGGTTTCTTCATTCTGATGGCTACTGCCTCCGCCGTTTGAAGGACTTTAAGCCTGACAAGCATAGGCAAAAAATTACTGACCCTATAAATAATTGAAAAAGATTGGTTTATACTGGCACTATGACCAGTTTGTACTAAATGGGACAAAATCGAGCTGTTTACTTTCCTCATCAGACCTTTGCTTAGCCACGCTGGGAGGTGTTCACGAGCACGAAAATGTAAATTCCTAGAACTTCCACCAATATAACTTGCTCCACAGGAGCAGTCGAACTGATAAATACAAAATGAAGTGGTCATTCTAGGAACTTCATCTTTAAGCCTCGGTGTCACCATTGGACGCGTAGAAAACACCAAACGTAGTTCACCTGCGTTGAAAGATTTTTGGATAGATCTGCGTAATCTCTGAGCAAGTATTTCGCCAGCAGCATCCCCCCTGAATTGTATGCGCATGAACAAGGACTTTTTCTTGACCGTTTGGAATTCGCCTATTTTCACTTTAAAGATCATATAATTAATTATAAATTTTCTGGGATACCCGTTCTCCCTTAGAGCAATGTGCAATGTGTTTAGCTCATTGTCAACTACATCCGCCGAACATATAGTGCGTATTCGATAGCTAAGGGTTTTGATTAGGTTTCGTTTGTACTGTAGAGGTACAAAGCTTAGGAAGTGTGTATACTGTCCAGTCCAAGTACTTTTTCTGTTCATGTTTCTTCTTGACGATCCATCAGATCTCTTAGTTAAGAGGACGTCTAAAAAGGCTAATCGGCCATCACTCTCTTCCTCCGATGTAAACTGGATGGCTGGATGCACTTCGTTAAACTGCCTAAGCACATCTTGTTGTGAAATATTATCTTTACACAGGATGAATGTGTCATCCATATATCTGCAGTAAAATTTGAATTCTTGAATAATCTTTTTCAGATGACCGTTCTCTAATTTAGCTAGAAATATATCAGCTAGTATAGGGCTCGTGAACACCTCCCAGCGTGGCTAAGCAAAGGTCTGATGAGGAAAGTAAACAGCTCAATTTTGTCCCATTTAGTACAAACTGGTCATAGTGCCAGTATAAACCAATCTTTTTCAATTATTTTTAGGGTCAGTAATTTTTTGCCTATGCTTGTCAGGCTTAAAGTCCTTCAAAATGGCGGAGGCAGTAGCCATCAGAATGAAGAAACCTGAGCTATGTGTACAGAAGAAATATCTCCAACCCCTACTTCTCCCTTGGCCAACCACAAGGCCAATTAATGAACAATCATCTTAGCTATTGTATGACCTAATTTGACGAATAACATTAGGATCACTTCAATTTTTTTTTAATAATCAAAAAATTTTCATCCCATTTTCCAATTTTTTTCAATCCCTTTCGTCCAATGAAATTCCTAGTTGTAAATGCGTTGTAATTGGTTATGTAATTCTTGAAATTCGTATAAAAGCTCTGTACTTATGGATATAGATAATTTTCTTCACAATATGGACGTCAGTAACGTGCAAATTAGAGGCTCTGTTGTTCCTCACGTAGTCACAGAAACTCAAAATGTATTTTTGAATACATTGTATCTGGCAGCGTTTCCATCACTGGAAGCGTTAAAGAGCGCCATTAGAACTTATGAAATAGCAACGTACTGCCATTATGCGGTGAGAGATTCTAATTTCCATGGAGATCGGAAGCCGTATATTAAATTTGTATGTTGGAGAAAGAGCTATAAAACACCAAGCGTTTCTTCGCAGCCGATTAGACGAAGGAGGTAAATTGATTAGTGTTATTATATTGTTCATTGAGGACTTCAATGGACACACAATGTCCGGCCTTCATCTTTTGTAAGTTTCTTGAAGGTTATTGGACTGTTGTTCGTGGGAATGTGCATCACAATCACGAGTGCAATTCCCTGAGGTACGACTGTAACACATGGATGCGCGGAATTTGAATGGATGGAGCGGAATTTGAATCAGTGAAGCCACTGCTGATATCTGGAACATCAGCATTCAATGTGATACACTACGCTTACCAATCATATGGGAAACGTCTTACAGCTCAAGATGTTTTCAATATGCGTTACAAAGTGTTCTCACAGGCCAACCTTCCTGGTAAGCAATGTGCATATTTATACTATTAACTGTAGGTGATTACGGTAAGTTGAAAAATCACATCACGTCACTTGGTGGCCTTTGTGATTATCAATTGGATGCAGATCATAGTCTGTTGTACTTCTTTTTCGCTACAGCAGACCAGATCAATCTGTGTAACAGGTTTTTAGATGTTGTTGGTTTTGATGGGACATACAAAACCAATAATGAAAACATGTTTCTTTATCACGTGGTGGCTTTGGACATGAATTTCATGGCAATACCTGTTTGTATTGCATTTGTAAGTCGCGAAACATCGACTTTGCTGTCCAGTTTCCTCTCGTTCTTCCGCCAAATGAGTAACAATAGAGAGGTTATCGGTATTGTTACCGACGATTCACCTGCTATAACTGGCTACGATCTGATCTTCTTCAAATGTTCTACCGTCTTATGCTAACAAGAAATGTGGAAAGGTAAATCGAAATATGCTTTACAATGTATTGTAGCTTCCAACGGTATGTGTCATTTATCGAAGCAGCAGACGGGAATTTCTATCAATATTTGAGAGATCAGTTATTGTCCAAAAAGCACAAATGGTCGAACGCTTTTAGACCAGCTGCAATGCTTCTAGATCAAAGCAATACAAATATCGTTGAGACGACCCATCGAATTTTAAAGTTGCATAAGCTGAACAGAAAAACACCCGTGTTCAGATCGATATTTAGTGTTCTGCTTCGCACTGGATATTGGATAGAAGCTAGAGTTCAAAAGTACTCCACTGAATGCCGTAGCAGGGCTGTGCTGGGTCGCGAGCCTCAACTACGTCGTCTTCAGGAAACACTTACACCTGCTGCATGTAAACTGCTTAAGCGGCACATGCGCATTCCTGTTACTGACTACGTATTGTCGGGGGAGTTTTTCACGGCCGTTGATACTACAGGAACTTACACAGTCTCCAAAAATCCTATTAGTTGTTCCTGTTTCTTTTATGTAGAACAGAGAGTCGTATGTCGTCACATCTTGGCATATTGTTCGCACGATAATGTCGAAGTTCACAGAGAAAGCATTGGTGACAGATGGCTGCATTCCAACAGCTTCGTAACCGCAGTAACGATTGACAATGAGTTACAGGTACAAGTCGGGCAGACAAGCGTCCTAACATCGATTCACAACTTATGTCGGCGTATGTCCGCTGAACAGCTTACCGCTGTCCTTAACTATTCTCATCAGTTGCTTAACGATGGAATACCTACTACCATCACAATGCCCGTCGTCCGAAATACCACAGGCACCAACCGTCAACAGAACGTAGATTTGGATGCTACCTTAAATGATGACGAGATGGAAGTAATATCTATGAACTCAGAAGAGTTCACGGACTGAGACAATGAAGAAGACGAACGTGCGCACAATGACCGACTGTGTGATATTTGCCATCTATGTCAGCCGCCCAGTGAACTAGGTGATGGAAGTGCTTGGATTTTTTGTCCATGCAACGCTATGTTTCATTCGTTCTGTGCCTACGACCCAACAGAAGTATCACCTGGGTTCAACTGTCCCATGTGCGGCGCTGTCACGGACTCATAGTGGAGTCATCGATCAGGACCGAAGGAGCTGTGTAGAGACCGAGTAAAGGCCCTTTTCA